TGTAGTTATGTGAAAGGGTAATATTCATACGCCAATAAGAGATGACCTTTAAATGAGAAATAAACATAATGAATAATATTGCATTTGTTAAATTAAGCTCATTAGCAATGTACACTATGTGACATTATTGTCTCTTTCCCAACACAAGATTTTAAATCTGTCTAGCATATTTGCTCTCAGCAAGTGCCTTTAGTAAATTTCTCTGTGGTAAAGTATCACTACAATTTATTGCATTTTTATGTAAATTCTAACCAGAATATTACTTATTTTTTCATTGTGAATTCAAAAATTTAACTACCTAGACATGGAATAACTTGAAGAGAAAAATCACTTCAGGCATTAAACTTTCTGTTTAATTCTTTCAATAATGATAAAATATAAGTATACACAAAGTTTTTTTAAGTACCTTATATGGATAAATTCTTGATGAAGTTATTTTATGGCAAGCAAAGTTATACAGCATTGTTTCAAAATAATTTCTTTTCATGAAGAATAAATTTTGAACCCCTCACCCAGCCTGATACCTGTGTTATTTATAATAGTTAGATTTAATTAATTGGGCAATGAAATGTCCCTGAATGACAATGGTGGACAACTTGGATCAGTATAATTATCTGAACAACAACTTAGTAATTATTAAAAATTCAACAATTATATTTCTAGGAATTGTTCCTAAGCAAATAAACAGAGATAAAAACAAAGATTTGACTGCAAAAATATTCATTGCAATCTTATCATTAAAGCAAAATATTAGAAAAAATAAGGAATTTTAAATCGATTCTTATAAAACTAGAGTCAAATACTATGATATCCTTACCATCATCTTATAGAAAAATAATGAAATAGGAAAATACTTACAATATAAATAAAAATATAAATAAAAAGAAAGAAGTAGATTACAAAATTATGTTCTCAGTTCTGCAAAAAGTAATGTTTTTAATGCTGGGAAAGTTCATCCCTAGAATGAATTTGATAAGGGTATAAGCGACAAAAGGCTGTTTTCCTCTAACTACTGTCTTTAATCATGCCAAATCTGCATTCCCTGATCCTTCATATCTTACATTAGTCCCTCAGCTTTCAGGTACATTTTCAGGTTTTTTTTTTTTTTCAAATACAGGCCACATCAATACCTTGGTTTCAATTCTCAGTGAAAACATTTTCTCTCCTCCCTTTTGTATACTCCAATATATACTAGCATTCTGTTTATGATAAAGGCTCCACTCCACTTGTGAAAAGGATTATTTAATAAATGAATGACACTAGGGCAATTATTTAACCATATATCTAAATATATCACAGAATAATGCAAAGATTTTACTAAAAATAAAATCAATGAAGAACTGGAAATAAGGACTGTCAAAAATTGGGGAAGTGTGAATTAACTAAGAACCTGTGATGAAGAAGGTCCTGAGATAGCACCTTTCTTCTTTTCCGCAGACTGAGGAAAGCTGCTGAGATTTGGGCATTGTCTATTACAGCAGCCTGCCTCATCTTAACTAACACACAACAGAGATGAGTCTAGAAATCATTACAGAAAATCAGCCTTTTTACTACGCAGTAATCCTTTAGATATAAAAATAATTGAAAAATTAAATATGAAGTGTAATTAACATTTATCAAGAGCTACAATTCTTATCCCAAACAATCTATTCTTATTAAAATACCAAAACTAATGGTGCAGTAATTTAGTAATCTAAAATATCATCATGCACAGGTATCCTAGCCCACCCGAGGCAAAACAGATGAGTTGTTAAAAAAAATAAATAAAAGGCATTATGCCTTTAATGAACTTTCTAAAATAAATAGGCAATTAGCCAAAAATGCTGTGGTTCAAATAGCAAAATCTTGGGTGTTTTAAAGCTTAAGCTTACTATTTAAAAAAAAAACAGTATTCTTAGGAATATTCTGCACATTGTAATATGTACATGTTTATAATACTTACAATTATATAAACACTCTTTCCAGTTCCTGTTGGTCCTACAAATATTGAAGGCTTTTGATGTGTGGTCAACAAATTCATTAATGCTGAATACCGGATTGTGTCCAGCGTTGGTACGATGATTTCATTAAACAGCACGTCTTTAGGAATTGGAGGGGTGTCTCCCAGTTTCTTTACCCATGGCTCCCATTTTCCTATTCCCTGTTGATAATAAGCAGCTAAATAGTGAAAGTTATATTGTAAAAGACTTTTAAGAGCTCTGTGCTTTTGTGTCATTGTAGAAAAAAACTGAGACTAACAAAAAAATGCTTACATGTTTGTTCTGTCCTTTCAAACACTTAACCCTCAGTTTCAAAGTAAATTTACATGTAAATTAAGAAATTATATTTTACATGAGTAAAAATGAAATGGCAATGCTGTGATAGTTTTCATGGTCTAAAACCACTGCTTATGCTAACCCAAATAATCAATAGTTGTGGCCAAATATTAGATTAATTAACAGCATTGAAAAAATTCAAGTAATCAATAGGTTAAAGGATAAGGAATTTTATTCAATAAATATAGAAAACTTTTTCTACCTAGGAGATCAACTGCCTGTTGCTTGGCTCTTATGGTGATATTTAGAAAGTCAGTTTATCGTTTCAGGCAAGATTCATTTTTGTAGAAATTATAATAAAGTAATATACTCAACCTCAGGTACAGAGTAGCATTAATCATCTCGCAATGTAGTGTAACAGATCCATAGAACAGCAAGATTTCCTGATTTGTGATTATTATTATGATTATTAGCATTATGATACATCTTTGTTTAGCTTGGAAACAATTTGAACTTTCTATGACAGTATTTATAATAAAAATTTTCAAAATGGTGTTTTCTCCCTAGAAAAATTCCACATTCCTCTCCATTCATTGAATACAGAAGAAAGTTTAGATTTTAGCCCATCAGATTTCAAATCCATCCTTCCTCCCCATCATCGTGTATCCCCACAACCAGTTCTTGCTAATGGGTCTACTAGTCCCACACATACCCCAACCTCTGGGCCGTGACACATGGTCTCTCTTAGCCTAGAGTGCTACATGACTCTCTTCCAAAGACTCACTAAGGGCAGAACTACGCTTTACTCATTTTTGTGTCTTTTGGCAAAGAGCTGTGCATACAGTAGAGATATTTTTGAGGGCACTGAATTCACATCAGCTTGAATATTATATTGCAAAGAAATATTTCTAGAATTGATGACAGAAATAATACCTTTTCCTACTCTTGATAAGAGTTTCAAACATGTAGGCTCTGTAATCATGTGGGGGAGGAAGGATTAAGAGTCAGAACACCTGGTCTGACATTGTGTGATCCTAGAACAATCATTTAAGATCTGTGAGCCCAATTCCTTTAATTGTAAAATCGGCAAAAATAATCCCATCCTTCCTGTTTCACTGACAGATTGGGAAAAAGTAGAAATAACTGTGAAAAATATGATAAATTATAAAGTACTCTGGAAATGCAGGGTAGTATTGGTTATTTTTAATAAAATAAAATTAGCAAAGACAGTATGTATTGTGCAGAATGAAGAATTCCTCCTAGGATGAGCATGGTAATCCACCTAAGAGCCATAAAAATTAAAAAATCAATACAGTAATGCCATTTTTAGAAAATTATCTTGAGGAAAATCAGATATGTACACCATGACTTGTGTCCAAGAATATTCACCTAAGCAGTATTTGTAAAAGTGAAAAATTAAAATAAGATAAACAACCCGGTAGACCATAGGAAAGCTTTACAAAACAAGTTTACTGAAGAAACATTAGTGAGATGGAAAGGTGTTCTCTTTACAAAATAAAAGAGGATTTTAAAAAATTGCCCATTAGGGATAAAGTGTCATCCTAATTTTACTTAAACTTATATTTACTTAAATAATATAGATTTCCTGAACTACATCTTCAGCCCAATACTTGTGGAAGTTGGTCTACAAAACAAACAAGCAAACACCACTCAAGTTTTATTTTCCAATCCATTTGGGAAATGTTAAATTAACAATTGATTAGCTGCATTTCTCCAAGACTTAGTGCCTGTAACATGCAAACATGCTCATGAATCTCCAAGAGGTGTCCTTGAACTACACATGCCTGGTGCTGGGTAGACCAGAATTAGAATATATTAGAATTAATATAATTCTATTAATGAGTAAAACTGGCCCTCAGGTATTATTGCATTTAATCACCAAGAAAAACTATGTTTAGCGAAATTAGCTCATCCAAGGCTGTGCAGAAAGCAACTTTTACTAGACTCCAACCGAAGCATATCTGACTTGAAAGCTGGCACATTTTCCTCTACTCCACACTGTCCCTTTAGGTCAACAGTAATGAAGAAATGGCCACAGAGCCATTGTGTGGTGTGTCTCGGAGAAGACTCTCACAGGTGGCAGTTGCAAGTCTTGCTTCAGAACTCACCTCAGAGACAAACTGATAATCATAAATTGTTCCTTTTTCAGGAAATGGAACAGTTAATTTCTTCGCAGATATTTGTTCAGTACCACTCTGTAATTTAAACTTATTTCTAGTTAGGTCTGAAATTTGACCTTCCATTAATTCTCGAAGAATCTTACTAAATTTCAATCGATCATCATCTGTACAAGAAGCACCGACAGACCAGATCAATGAAAACAGAAAAATGCCCTGCATTGGAGAGATGAGAAGATAAAGTGCAATTAAAGAGTAATTTCAATCTGTCCTCATAACTTAAATCAGGCCAACCAGATTAATATCTCTGAAAAATAATAAGACAGCTGATATGTAATAGCAAGTCATCCAAGGATTTTATAATAATAAGAGTTTTTTCATATTGCATGTCATATAAAAATCTTAAAGACAATAAAATGCAAAGTATAAATTCTAGTCATAGTGAAACTTTAGAATGATTAATCTGGTTAGTCATAGTTTAAATAAAGAGCAGAAGCTTCATCTTAAAAGGAACATTGAGATAACTTATTTATAAAGGTGTTAGGACATAATTTATGGGTAAATAATATACATCTTTTAATTTAAAAGTTGATATCCTGGGTGTAAATAGAACAAATTTCTATTATTTTACCTGTAATAATATATAGGCATTAATTAGTAAACTAGAATTGCCATTCTGCAAGCAAAAGACACTATCTTTCTTTCCACCAGACTTAGGCAGAGGGAATAGGGTAGAAGAGCAGGCTCACAAAATGCATGAGAAAATCTGTTTGCTTGGTTTAAAATCAAATCTTTTCAAATGATAAAGCCAACAGAGTCCTAATCTACTTTAATCCTTTCTATCTATTTCTAGTTTATATACAGACTGTTTTTCTCACAAAAATGTTATCCCCAAATTAAAATATAATTTCCTAAAATATGTTATAATAATTCCATTCTAACCACATTAGAAGTGTTACCATGAGAAGAACAGTATTATTATTTCTAAAAAATGCCAGATCTGTTGATATTTGTATTACTATTTAAACATTCTGTTTACTGATGACCTATATATTTTATATAGGTTGAGAAAATCACATACATATAATATATATGTACACACACACGTATGTACACGTATACATATACATACACCTATACATCTGCCTTCCCATATATTTACATATACAATAGTATATATATATTTGTTCTCATGCCAAAAAAAAAAGTCAAGAGGAAAGAATAATAAATTATTATGGTTTAGAAAGGAGGTAAACTTTTTGGGATGGATTATTTCTGAGACTAATCAAATGACCCTGTATTTCGGTAACCAATCTGAGGTAATCACCACAGACTTCATTATGCAATGTTAATGCCAGGGCAGATGGCCCTAAGAACTTGGAATTTTGGGCCTGACTTTCCCCTCACCTTTGTAGCTGCCACCACTGCCCTGAACCCAATTTCAAGAACCAAATGAGTCTCATTAATTAGGAAGCTTTGGGGAAAACTGGAGGTGTCTATCTTTCTACTGCAAGATTCAGGAGGCAACGGGTCCTACCTCAAGCAAAGAGTAAATTTCTCGATCATTTCTGTCTTTTTGTTTGGCTTCATCAGCAAAATCATCCATAAAACAATCTATTAGATTCATTAAGGATCTGACCAAGTTTGTATCTGAAGTAGGACATAATTCCTGAAAAGTCAAAAAAAAAAGTCTATTAAACTAGTATCAGCTAGTACTCATTGGACGCATTTAATCCTAACTGCCATCACATCTATGAAAAGATACTACCATTGTCCTTGTTTGATGAGGAGAAATTGAAGCACATATTAATTCCTTGCCTACAGTGTGGCAGTGGTGGATGTCACATTTTGGTAGTGTATATTATTTATTTGTTCGCTTACTTACTTAGGTACTCTTTAACCTCTCTTATACTAACTCTTGAATTAAAAAAAAAAAAACTTACTGGCACGTTTAGTTTAATCAAAGACATAGGTTCTATTAATTATTAATTTTTGAAAGCGAAACACAAAATGCTTTCAGAGAAGGCAATTAATTTATGTATCTACTATGCTTAATAAATAAAACCCATTTTAGAATATTTTTATATGGTACAGCAGTAGTCATAGCAAACCCCATCCTATGAAATAATTTCCAAATCTCGAAGTCCACAAAAACATTGCTGGAATGCTGTATACGTCATGCACTTTACTCTTTGACATCTCATATGACAATTTATGAAATAAACAAAATAACAGGTATAGTTCCTAGAGCCACGCAGTGTACAGCAGCTTCTCAGTAAAAATCTGACAGCTTCCCTCCCAGCTCTGTTCTAACCTTTACAGTTGAATTGCTTCATGGCTAACGAATAAAAATAAGCTCTCTGAAATCAACTCTTTGAAGACCAGAAGCAGCTGACATCCTGTTGAGCCACCTCTCCTCTCCCCGCCCACCCTGCCCCTGAAGAAATGACAGACAAAATAGAGTTGTTGTCTAAGGGTGGGACTGTTACTGATGGCATGTTAAAATACAGTTATTACTACAAATAAAACAGACGCATACTATACAAGGTAAATAAGTCATTCACAGTTTAGAAGAGGACAAAAGTCAGAGGACACTTTAAAGGCTGCATTAAAAATTTTATGTTTTGCTATAGAAAGGATACTTCTCAGTTATATGGAAAATTCATTTATTTCTAATGCTTAAATTCTCTGACAATGCCAAAAAAAAAGAAGCAAAAATCCTGCAGCTTGTTTGTTATGACCCTCAATTCATGTATGTGTGATTGGCTTGGATATGATTGCTTCTACAATCATATCTACAATATATCTTGGTTACAGTCAAGCATCTTGAAAGAGCAGTCTACGCCCATTTTCTGGTCAGTATCTTCCATATTCCTCAGCTGGCTGCCCTGAAGTCCCTGGGTTCTCCCTCATGTACTTTTGACAAGAGTCCCCCATGTTCTTAAGTGCCAATTCAAAGGGACGAATGTCAGTCCTTTCTTGCTTTCATCTGATTTCTTAGAAGTATCTCATAATGCTGACTACGTTCTTCATAAAATGCTCTTCTCTCTTCCCTCTCTCTCTTGTCTAAATCCCTAGTGCACCTGAGAGTCTACCCGTTACTCTCTTCTTTTGTCCTCAGTTTTTCCCTATAGGTAATGTACATTAGCATGGTTTTAAATTCTACTCTCCAAATCTGTACCTTGAGCCAAACATCTGCTTTCTTCTATCTCCAACAGGATGAAAAATATCAGCTCTGTTTCATTATCTTGGTTCCACAGCCCACGACATTCTAAATGACCTCCAATCAACATCTCCAAAGTAGAAATTAAGTGTGCTTTACAATGTTCAGCTGGAGAGACTCTAAAACTCTGGATGTGCTTCAGGGACTCTGAGACAGATTTCCATACCATTGACTGTTCTCCTGTCACCTTCCCCCAAACCCCCTCCCAGGGGACACTGAAAGAAAGAAAAAGGGATTTGCCTACTTTCAACGTCTTTTCAAGTCTGCCAGGGACTGACTTATTTTAGGAAATTTGGAAAAAAACCAAACTTATAAAAATGGAAGTTTAAAATACAACAGCTCATTAGCAATAAGAGATAACATTTTGGTTTATTTAATCCTGATGGGATTATACAGGCCTTTTGGGTTTTGTTTGTTTGTTTTAAGAGAAAAGTCACCAACATTTTCTCAAACTCTAAGGTGCTTCATTTTAGCTATTTTTGGAGAATAATTATAGTTATTTTAATCAGAAAAAATCCAAGCGTGATAGCATACAACTATAATGTCAAAGAAAAGGGGGACAGGGGACATACACAAAGGTTTTCAGTCAAAACAGTTAAATATTTTATACATTAGTTAATAATAAAAAGAAATTAAGATTGATTTATTTTACTAACTTGAGTTTTCCATTTTTTAATCTTAAAATTCCCATTTCTCTCACCTTTGTGTGCCTTCTAATAAATTCAACAGAAACAGGGACCATTCTGTCAAATAAGCCTGTAATAAACTCCTTCTGAATAGCGCTGACTGAAGCAGGCAGAAGATTGATCCAAGACAACATCAGTGGTCTCCAGCCCAGCATGTGAGGCTCCATGTAAATCATGCCACACCTGGAAACCTGGAAAAGCAGCCGCTGTTCACCATCAAGACAGTGTTCACAAAAGACATTTTCACTAGACACCGGCTCAGTCTGCTGGCTCATGATGAAAGCCACTTAGTCAAGAGCCAAGGTGATGGTAGGAAAAGAGCGTTACTTGATAAGCTAACTGATCAGAAGAGGCAGATAAAGGGCCATCATCCTGGGGGGCTAACTTAGGGACCATTCCTATAGGAGATGGGTGATTGAAAACTGGTGGGTACTTTCTCCCATGTCAAGGTTTGTGACCAAATAATGCACTTCCAATCCTAATTGCCTAGTTATGAGGTGCTTTTCTGTTCTGTAAATCTCAAGAGCAAGGTCATTATTTCCTTGGGCTATTCTTGTCACTGATCACTAAACTCACAGTAAAGAAAGAAAACATATTTTACCTGATCATTGTGAAACACAGGGTCAAGTGAAGTTAAGTAGGAAGTCTAGCATGAGCTCGGCTCCCATGTGAAGATATGACTTGACACATCTGTTTCTGTTTAATACAAAGTCTTGGAGGGGATAAAGGCTCAATTTTATAAAATTTCATGATCTCAATTTTTATATATGACTTTACCAAGTAGACCCAAACAAAAGAGGAAAACATCTTGGCCATTACATTTGTCAAGTTATATGAACAGATACATCTGTTTTTTGACAATCACAGATTGCCCTTAAAACAATTCTCCTAATATTTTTCATTTAAAATCAAATCTACTAAATAAGTGAGAACATTCATAACATTTTGCAATTTATCAGCAGATGTCAAAATTGAGAACTTACAGTGGCAGGAGAGGCAACTTCTAAGTCCATTGGTTCAAAAATCAGATTCATTTGTGGTGACATTTGAATAATTTCCCCGCTCATCAGACACAGCTTCTTGTTGTCGTCCAGCACTGTGTTCATATTTTCAATCCACACTGCATCCACTGGCCCATCAAAAATTAACCACTTCCTATCTGGAGTCTATTTTGTGCATATGGTGAATAAGAGGCAAAAATGTAATGAAGAGCAGAATCAATAATATTTCAGAGTTTAAAATTTTAACTCATAGAATTCTACCACAGCATTAAAGGTACACCTTGAATAAAGTGTGTATGTGTATGTATACATATATATATTCTTTATATACAAAGGAGCCATGAACAAGACAAAAATACATCATTCCAGATGACTCTCAGCATGAATACTATTAATATCTCTCATAAAGATTAATTATTCTTGTGTGCTAAGCCAGACTTTCTCTCCTCTCCATTGAGTGAATCCACACACACACCCACACACACACCCACACACACACACACACACACATCTTAGGCTGAACTGTCCCCTGATGTAGGACATTAAAATCAATATAATATTCATGGTCCTGCAATTATTTAATAAATATGAAAATATCTATACATTGTCCAGAACATATTAAACACTCAACAAATATGAGGGAGTGTACAGGTGTAAACTGGAGAGTACAAAATCTGATTCTTCTGCCCAAATTCTTATAATTCAACCTTTTGGTGTACACAGATGATGTCTTGTGAGTACATTCAAGGTGAAGGATTTAGTACATTCTCAGTCCTGTGACCAGTTCATTGATACACAAGACAGTGGGTCTGTCTCTGACTCAAGCCACAGCACACCCACATTCAGAGGTTGGTTCTGGCTGCTCTCAGGAAGGCAACAAGAAAGAGCTACACTTTGCACCCTGGGTGATCACCTCAGAGTTCAAATTTTCCTCAAGTTGTGTGCTTGCCACACCTGTTAACCTGCACTTTGAGAAACACTGCCATGTAAATGTGTAAATATGACCTTGACTTGGCTCTATTACTTATGGGCACTGTGACTGGGTAAACTACCTAACATCACTGAGACTCAGTATTTATGGGGTGTAGCTTCCTGAAAAATGTAAGCTACGTAACTGAAAATAAAGATGTCTCAGCACTATTTCAGGGTAAATAATGTGACTGCATACATTATCTAGAGACTTATTATTCTGGATCAGAATGCATCCACTGTGGCAAGAGGAGACATAAGAAACTACCTCAAGCAGACTATGTCTGCTTCACTTGTGGCTCCCGATTACTTTATTCTCAAAATTACTGGTAAAATTTGATATTGGGCAAGAGCTCTGTTCCTCTGTTACTTGCTGCCCATGGTCTACTGATAAGAGCAGAATTGAGATTTCTATTACTACATGGAGTCATGAGTCATGGTCTGCTGCATTCTTATGTGGTAAAGAACACCGAAATTAGGATATATGGTAGTCAGAATAGAGAAACCATAAAAAGGAATGACTTAATATATAAACTAGATGGCCCCTTTTCCTATACCAGCCTTAGTAGGCTATCTCCAATATAATCCCAGTGGATCTGTGTGATGGAGAACCTGCTAAAATATGGCAAGCAAGTTAACACTTGTTGGTCTGCAAACTCTTTTCATAAACATGGACAACCTCCCAGCAGAATAAGCCAGGAGCAGGTAAGATAGCAGTTGGCACATGTCTTACCCCTTTTGCTTTCCAAAATGCAGCCAATTTTCTCCCTATTACTCTAGATGGAAAGTGTTGGAACTATAAGACATCATTTTTGAAGGTATGTAATGTCTTCCCTAAGCATTGGGGTACATCTAACAATTAGTGGGTGTGACAATGGCAGCAGCAAAAAGAGTGGGCAAAGGAAGAACATTACCAAAGGGACAGAAGGACCATGCCATCCAGATGTTCCCATTCCTGAATCACTTAGCTTGGGAGAATCAGAATATCTTGCCCTGAGTTTTTGCTACTGCTCTCTCCCATACACCTGCTGCAGAGTAAAATGTGCTCGCAAGAATGGTCTGGATACTCTTGTAGGTTTTGACATCGTTATTCACAGAAATACTGCTGGGCCACCCAGCAATGCTTTTTAAATAAATATCTTAAGCTATCATTCAAATGTTTATTTTAAAGAAGTCAGAAACTGGTCAGAAGAACACATCATAGCCTTGTAACATATAAGTGTGAGAATGTTAGTACTTACTGCTGCTGATGCAAATGCTCTGAAACTGACAGCGAGGATCCCATCAGACCACTCATGGGACACTAAATCAAACTGCCCATACAGCTGACCCATGGTGATGGACTTGGGATTTAAGACAGTTATTTGAACCTTGTTTTCTTCCATTAGACCCTTAATGAAAAAAATCAATCACTTATTTATTGTGAAGAATACTGTCTTGATCCATAGTAAACCTATAAGGAATCTACACAGAAACTTCCAGAAGTGAAGAATGAGTCTAACAAGGTTCCTGAACACAAGGTCAATGTATAAAAATCTATTATATTTTTTTTACAATGCTAGTGAACAAAAAAAGGCCAGATAGTAAATATTATAGACTTTCTATATTTCATATTCTGCTTTGCTTTAATTTTTAAAAAAGTCTTTTTCATGTGAATGCCATTTTTAATTCATTGACATTACAGAAATAGGCTTTGGCTGAATTTGACCTGTAGGCTATAATTTGTTGACCCTTGCTATAAAATTTTCTCTGAGCAAAAGTAAACAGAAGCAAAGATACAGAAATGTGTGCTTTCCATGGAGTCAAAAACTTAATGTCAGTAAACTACATTTTGGCCAGAACCCTGAAAATTGATCTATGGCCATATTATAAGAGATGTTACTTCCTTTGGTGCATGAGTCTTTTTTTAATTAATAGAATTTATTTTTAAAGCAGCTTTAAATTTACAGAAAAATTGGGCAGCAACTACTAAGATCCCCACATATTTTTTTCTGCCTACCTGATAACAGTTTCCCCATTAGTAACAGCTTACATTGGTGGGACAGTGTTATGATGGATGAATTTATTTGAAACATTATTATTAGCTAAAGTCCATAATTTATATGGGGTTGGCTCTTTACATAGTCTAATTCTATGAGTTTTGTCAAATGCATTATGTCACGTAACTGCCCTTACAGCACTATACAGAAAAACTTAACTACCCTAAAAATCCCCTGTGCTCCACATATTCATAATCATTTATTTTTATATATAAAACAATATAATAAATTCAGTTCTTCTTAACACTGCCAGAGCAGCAGACACAAACTAGCAAATTAAAGAAAAGATGTGGCAATAATAAGCCTAAAACATAAAACAAACTCAAGGTTTTTGCTTTCTTCTCTTTGCCCAAGAAAGTTTTAAGAACATAATTTCCTAAGTTCAGAAGTATGGGAAAGTTCTATCATTTTAATCAGAATAAAGTTACTGCTAACAAAGAAAGGTTTTTATTCTAAAGGCTAGTGTGAAGCCATAGAGCTTGTGTGCACTGCTAAGGAGGCCTGTGCCTTTCACCTATCTCAATGTCACTGATAGAATTACCAGGTAACAAACCATTGGGCTTTTACATGTGACCAGAAAACATGCTCACACCCTCACCTTCTTTCACTCTTTGGGCAGTGCTGTGTTTTGTTCTTTTGGGGACTTTAGTTTTTGTAACCAAAGAAATTAGCCCATCTAACAATAAATCAACAAAACAGGAAAAAATGCAAACAAGTCTAAAAGAAGAAAAGGAAGGCAAGAAGTTAAGCAGGGAGAATTTAAAAATTGAAGGGATAAAGGGAGAAAATGGAAAAGAAAGGCAAAAGAGGAAATAGCATGGGGGTATGAAAGTAGGAGAAAGAGATGACAGAAATAAGTAGCATATCAGTTTGTACGATAATAAATATAAGTGAATTTAAATTTCCATTTGAAAAGATAGAGACCAGTGACTGGAGAAAATAAAAGTCAAACTATTTACTCTCTATAAAAGGTAAATCACAGCAACATCTAAAAACATAATTAAAACCATAGGGGAAATAAATGGACCAAGAAAGTAGGAGTAGCAATAGTGAAATTAGATAAAGTTAGTGTGAGGTAAGTAACAAAAAAGAAAATATTTTATATAAGTTGAAAGGCGGCTCCACAATGAAGATACAATGATCACAAATCCCCATAGGCTACAAACACTGAAATACCCAAAGTAAAACTATTCAAAACACAAGGGAATGTAAGTAGACAGCAACATTAGCAGAGGAAGTTAAAATAACCCCGTTCCTTTAGCATATCAGAGTAGAACAAAATGTGATGTGTTGAGAATTTTGAACAATATAATTATGACATATTATGAATGGGCATATTAACATATCACATATAGCTACATAAATACATGTGTATGCAGACACACTTTGCATTAATTAAATTAATTCCACCAGTAATTCATAAGCTTGCATTACAAATTTAAATTTCCAGAAAATAAAAAATACCTCCTAAAAGTATTAAATAAAAACCTTCAGATTTTTCTGTATTTGCAGACATTTTTCTACAATGATCATGTTTACCTTTACAACTAAAAAAAAAAAAGAAAGAAAAGATTGAAAGGCAGACTTATGGACTTATGGCATAACCTTTATATGCTGAACTTACCACTCGTTTCATTTTTACTCTTCTGTATTATCTCTGACTCATTTTTCTCATGATTTTAAGCTGCCATATTCAAAGTATCATTCAAAATGACTATATATTCTCTCTTGCACAAAGCTGATTGCAAATAAATGCATTAATAACACATGTACCTTTTCACATATATCATTTAGTGCTCCAGCTAATACACGATATGCACTGGTTTTTCCTCCAAATGGTTCTCCAACAATCATAAAACCATGACGCACAATCATCATTTCATATATTTGAAGAATCTTTTCAGAAAAGAATTTGGTCATTTGTAAATTCATGGAGGCACAATTATCTTTGATGGCTGCCAGCAAATCATTGTAATCTGGTTTTGGTAATTTCACTCCAGGAAACAAATCCGAAGTAATACCCTGACAATGGATAATTTGAAAATTTTACATTTTATATATTTATATTAAATATATTTTGTAAAGAATTTTATATTGATTGAAATATTTATAAGATAGATGGAAAAAGAGTCAATAACTAATAATAGTTTAAATCTTTGTTTTCAGCTAGAGATTTATAGCTTGAAGTTATATATTTAGTATTTGGAATACTAACACTATGTGACTTCAAAGCTTATTGTGAAGACTACCATATTGGTATAAAGTAACAAATAAAGGCATAGAATAAAATAAGGGTGCAGAAATAGACCCACACATATATAAACAACTGATGCTCAACAAAGATGCAAAGGCAACTCCATGGTGAATCTTATTAGAAAATGGTACTAGAATAACTAGCTGTGCCCAAATAATTAACCTTAATCCATACGTATACATATTCAAAAATCAGTTCAGAAGTATTTTAGTGAATACATTGTGTGGATTGGCTAGTGTCCCTCCAAATTTCATGTCTACCCAGAACCTCACAATGTGAACTTATGTGAAAATAGGGCCTTACACATGTAATTAATCAGTTAAGATATCACAGTGGATTAGGGAGGGCCCTAAATGCAGTCAATGGTATCTGTATAAAAGAAAGAAGAGAGAGAGAGAGGGAAGAGAGAGAGAGAGATTCAGATACAGAGATGCAGAGAATAGGATCATATGATGATGGGTTCATGTGGGAAAGGAGTGAGGCAGTTACAAACTAAGGAGCATCAAGGAATGCAGAGAGCCACCAGAAGCTAGGAAAGAGCAAGGAAGAGCTCCCCTGTAGATCCTTCGGAGGGAGCATGCCTTCAACACCTTGATTTCAGACTTCTGGCCTCAAAACAAAACTGCAAGAGAATAAGTGTTGTCTTTTTCTTTTTCTTTCTTCTTCTTCTTCTTCTTTTTTTAACAAAAACAGAGAACAGGAGGGCAGAACAGGTCCTGTCTGGGGGGTTGGTACCAGTGACGGGGGGCAGAAGAAGGAGGGGAAGGGGGAAGGAGGGTGAATATGGTGCAAATATTGTATACATATGTATATAAATGAAGAAATGAGAACTATTGAAACATTCCAGGAATGAGGGGAGGGGGGATAAAGAAGAATGATAGAGGGGGTGAATTCAACTATTATATACTGTATCAACTTCTGTAAATCTCAAAATGTATCCCAAGTACAGCAATAAAAAAGTCATCTCATTCTTTTGAGGAACTTAATCTTATTTAATTTCTTCAGTTATTAACTGAACAAACATTTACGGAGCACCTAATCGGTGCTAAGAAGTCAGTGGTAGGTTGGGCAAGTTACTTTTCCTCACAGAGCCTATATTCACATGGAACTTATAAGCAAACATCTTTTAACTTTTGTGTGCTCATTATATTCTGCAGTAAAAAAAGTATGATTTAAAAACCCTAAGTCACTGAAACTTATTTGAAGCAACAAAGCTAGGTGAAACACTGTAAATAAAAACAAGAGTGATGATCTATGTTTCTCTGTACCAGGTCATTGTTTTTTACAGTGGAAATTTCTTGTAGGGAGTTTTGTAAACTAAGACATTTGATAAATACTACATTATTATGAGTATTGATACATCGGAATAATAAATACTCTCACCTCAAAGAGTGGTAAATCATGGGATAAAAATTTTGGCAGATTTACATCAATAATAGATCTAAGCAGCAAAATTTCTTCATTTTCATTTGGATATTTCAGCTAAAAGAAAATACAATCATGAGGATTCCAGCATCTGTTCAACACACCCCTTTGTGGTCATACACACACGCACACGGTCCCTATAGGATGTAAACGAATGTAAAAGTGTTGCTCTTATTTCTTTTCATTTGCTGGATTGTTATTAATTAAAGAAACTAACATTTACATTTGTTGAATTTCACTAGTTTATAATAAAAACCTAGGCTGAATTTCACAGACATGCAAAATCAAGGGCTGCTGGCCAGGAATTCAATATAGTTTGGGAGTTGCCACTGCCTGTATTTTGGGTAGAGCTTGCTTATCCTATACATTCAAGACTAGCAGTAGGTTGGGTCCATGAAAATCACTAAATGTGTGTAATCAGTTTGAAAAAATAAGTTGAAATTTTAAGTATACAAGCAACATTCATGAACTGTTCATATTTTGATGCCAAGTCCTTTTCTCTGAATATAGAATCATACACCCTTTCTTTTTCTTTTTCTTTTTCTTTTTTAACAAAAGCCACATAATGCATCATCTACTCCATCCAGTTTTGCTGTGTTCTGGGACTTTTTATGTTTTTGAAACAGTGGATAATGTTCATTCAAAGATACTGATAAAACAACTTGAGTGTGCCATCCTTATAAATATTTAAGTTTTTCAATTTTATATATTTTTCTTGTCCACATCAAGTTTAAAGTCACTATTTTTAAATATTTTATCTTTACTGAAATCTTTTTTAAACAATGATCTCAGTTTTCATAGAAACAAACTCTACTTTTCATGTTCATACATCATCAGTTTCCACCCCATGTCATTAAATTAAATACTAACAAGTAACATGTCCCACCTGGCTTCAAAAGGGTTCAAGAACAAGCAAACTGACTCTGAATAAGGAATACTGAAAGCTCATTTAATAGAAGTACAGGTGGGAGGGCAGAGCACCAAGATGCCTGTGCCTTAGCAAGCTCCACAAAGTAGAGAGGGCAGGTTGCTAAGTTGCTATGTTTATCAGTTAAGTAGAGGGTGTTTAGGAAGTTTATATTAACCTGCAAAACATCTGTGGCATAGCCAAAGTTTACTCAGAAGGTGACTGAAGTCTGAACTTGTTATTTATGTCTATATTAACAATAACCTATGCTTCACTATGTTACTCAAGACCTTACTGCAAAGTTTCTCCTACATCATGCATTTGTTTTCTGAAACTCCTTTTTTTTTTCTAAAATACTGCTACTTAGTACATGCTTTATTCTTACTAAGTGGCTTCCACCTAAAAAAGATCCTATACAAATGGCTGGCTGATTCAGTCTCTGAATGCAAAGCTGATCCTGCTCATCTGGATGTCATTTTTGATCAATCTAACCACAAATGAGTTGCAAGTGTCAGAATCTTGTTTTGTTGTTTGAGAGGCTTTGTTGTTTGAAGCAGTGTTTAAATTATCTCTTGATATAATAGGGAAAAAAAACCCTTCATAATATTCAAGCTAAAGCATTCAACAATTTTAAATTAGCTTTTGACAAAGAATGATAGGACTCATTTGCAGGATCCATTTGCACCCTAACTTTAATAGCTCAATTCCACAGTTAAGATTTCAGTGATGACAACCTCTGGGACAATGCATTATCTCCCCCACTATCTGACCACAAAGTAATCCTGACATGCCAGGTTAATACAAATTGTTGCTTCTAGGCCCTTTTGTTTATTGCAAAAACCTCCCAATGATTTGAAGTTATATTAAGCTAATGTGAAAGAGAATATCACCACTGTGTATCAGAATTTGTGATAACATTATTATAGAAGATGAAAATGCATGCCAATGTTCTTAATCATGTAGGATATATTTAAAATCTGTATCTCCTACTAATCATAAGTATGAAAATTCTGTCAACTCCAAGGTTACATTTTGCTGGTAACTATATATATAAAGGCTGTCTTGCCTTCATAAAGAAAATTAATGAGAAGGGGGATAAAGGGGAATGATGGAGGGGTAGAATTTAACTAAGATATATTGCAAGCACTTTTACAAATGTCACAATGTATCCCCAGTCCAACAATAACATGATAATAAAAAAATACAAAATACAAAATACTAAAGAAAATTAATGGACAGTTATCTTTCATGGTTTCACAAGATACTTCCAATGAAAAGTTAACTAAGAGTTAAATTATTTGGATTTTTCATATATGGAGAGGTGAGGTTTAGGGACCTTAGCGAGTTTTGTAGGTAGATTAATGCAACTAGAAGGGGTAGGGATCCAATTAGTGTGTAAAATAGGAAGTATAGGCCTGCGTCAAGTCGTTCTGTTTGGTTCCCTCATCGTGTAATGATGATTAGTGTAGGAATTAGTGTGGCTTCAAATAAGATGTAAAATAAGATTAGTTCTGTGGATGCATTTTAAGTGCAAACATTTTATTGAAAATCTATTACTACTAGTTTGCAGTTGGTAATTATATTAAGTGACAATATTTAGGGCTCTTTATATATACTTATTAATTATACATTATTTCCTTTAAAGTGATGCATATTATATAAACTAAAAGTCTCTAAAATATTTCTCAGCAGTAAACAATGTGATTCCTTGGTTATATCCAGTTTCATATATTTAGAATTATAAAACAGAATTTGAATCACTAAGAATTATATGTGAAAGGGTTTACAGTTCATTATAAAGTTTCCTTTTTTGTGAGAAAAATAATAAATTATGTTAAGTACAATAATAATTGACTTTTTTTCATTTAGTTAACGAAACCAATTAGCTAGTAGAACCCTATGAAGACACACAGTCCTAAGACTTACAAATGGGAAATTTACAAGTCAGAAACACTGTGTTTCTACCTTTAGATTCCCAGCAGCTGTGAGCACTGACTTCACGGCTCGCATTCCATAGTCATAGTGATGTTGAGATGACAACTGCTCTGAACACAAGCGATATGTAGCCACAATTTTGACTGACAGCGGCCGAGCAGTGACAAACCCACAGGAGTAAAGCACTATTTCAGCAATCATGGCATAGTCAGGAACCATCATGGCTACTGTCCGAAAGAGAGCCTGTGGAGTCATAGGAAAGGTGCTTTCAAAAAGACACATGAAGATAACCCTCTTTCCTTCATAACATTCTGTGACTTTATAGCCTTCTGAAATCACTTAATATTTATTAAATCATATTTATTACTTAATAAGTATCAAATTACAACATTCAATTCATATAGATAAAAATGAAACTCGTTTTCCTATTATGGCTGTATAATAAATACATGATTAAATATTTCTATCTAAATGTTACCTATCAATTATGCTAGATTCTTCGTGGGAAGCAACATGTTATCAGGAAAAGAACATCAGACTCTGCCAGGATGTGTAAAAGTCTGGCTCAGCGCCCAGGCAGATGAGAAAGTGCTTGCTTTGGGAGATAGGGCTTCAATCAAGCCTCTCTGGGGATCCAATTAATTTTATAGCCCCAGGATAATCAGGTAAACCCTAAAAACAAGACTATGTTAGACAGATAAAATATTTGAGATATTCTGACCCTTTTGAATTTGTAGTCATCAGGGCAATCCTCCTGCAAGCATAATAATGAAATGAAAACTAGAAATAGGTAATGGATCATTATTATTAGAGATAAATCAATTTTCCAAATTGTAAAGATAGTTTATTTTCAGAATATTTTAAATATTGTGAAGCAAATAAATGTCTTGTGATGGTAAGGACTAGAAAGCTGAATAGATTTTAAAACAATAATATGAAAATTTAGGTTTAGAATCTTAGCATATGTCAGGATACTTTAACAGCTTATATATTAATACATGATTGTTTAATATTAAAGAGGAAAAACAATAATCTTCTCAAGAAAATTTAAAAAAGAGAAGCACCGATAGTGAGTGGCAATTGTATTCATATACAGTTTGTAAATATCTTCTGGAAGTTAGCTGAATTACCACAAACAAAAGGTAGATAAAAATAATACATGACTTGCTTAAGTGATTTATTATGACTCTTTCAAGTTCAAAAACAACAAGAAGATTTGCATCTACCAAGATCTTTCCAATTTATTATGTAAATTATTAATTAGTGTCCTTATTGCTGCTGTTTTATCAATAGGTTACCATCAAGGAATGGAAAGAGCTGGAACTGTTGGCTCACACCTGTACTCCTAGCTACTTGGGAGACCAAGACCAGGAAAATTCATCCTGGTTCCAGGCCAGCCCAAGCAAAAAAGTTTGCAAGGCCCCATCTCAAAGAAAAAAGCTGGGTGTGATGGTGCATGTCTAACATCCCAGCAGGAAGCCTAAAATAAGAGGATTGCAGTTCAGGCTAGCCTGGGCAAAAAATGAAACTCTATCTCCAAATGAAAGGACTTGGAGTGTGGCTCAAGTTGAGCTCCTGCCTAGCAAGCACAAAGGCTTGAGTTCAAACCCTAGTACCACCAAAAAGTTTTTTTAAATGGAAAGAATAAAATGTCAAAAATACTGCTTGAGCAAGTAGGAGAGATTTTTAAACAAGTGTATTCTAACCACTTGATACATGAAGAAAAGAGAATGGCTCCCCAGATGCTGCCTTTTTTTTCGTTTTTTTGGTAGTTCTCGGGTTTGAACTGTTGGCTATGTGTTTGCTAGGCAGGCACCTGAGTCACACTGCCAACCCTTTTTGCTCTTATTATTTTTGAGATAGGGTCTTGATTTTGCCTTAGCCAGCTTGGATTGTGATCCTCCTATGTTAGGCTTCCCACTGTGGCTGGGATGAAGGCATGCACCACTGAAACCTAGCTGTGTTGGTTGAGATGCAGGGAGAGGGGGAGTCCTCAGGAACTTTTTGCCCAGGCTGGCCTCAAATCAGGATCCTCCCAATCTCAGCCTCTCAAGTAGCTAGGATTGCAGGTTTGAGCCACCACACCTGTCTCAGATGCAACCTCTTTAAAAAGGTAGGTTCTCAGCAGCACTTTTGATGAATGATTGAATTTACAAATCAGTCAGTCAGTCTGGCTAGGTAAGGGTGATACAGCCTTTCTACAATATACAAATTATTAGCACTTTGGGGTCAACACCAAATACTGTATGTCATGGGTTTTCCTCTGGACACCTGAGGTATTTCCCAAATTCCTATTCACATTCTCTCACCATTGATAGAACTATAGTTGTGGCACACTATGAAACAGAGATACTAGTGGCTAGGAAAACAGAAAACAGAGTAAGTAAAGAAGTCTCAAGCACTTATCATGGTGTTCCATTTATGGAGAGTTCTCCACCAAAGACTTGACATTGATTCTTACCACAGAGGAAAGCATCCTGACTAAAATATTTGTGGCCTAATCTCAAACAGGGTGTGTGGCATACTAGTACACTTTGATCTTGGATGAAATAGTTTGTTAGTATAGCAGTAAGCATTTAGTGCTTTTGAAAAACTTAAATTAGATTCTAAACAAATGGTATACCTTCTTGAGTACAAAAAAACCCACTAGATCCAGCTAATATGCCAAGACTTGAATAAATTCCAGAACATATAATTAATATAAGCATAAACCCCTGTCTTTATCTCAGCAGAAATAAATTCTTGAGAATAGTTGTTCTGCTACATCTGCCCTATGGGCAGAAGGGCACACTTACTTCTTGGGATATGCTTCCAAAGACCTGTGCATACTGGTGCGGTAAAAACAAAAATCAGGCAGTAATTTCTTACAATTTCTTTCTAAAGACCTAAAAACAGATTTTATAAATACTTTAATCTCTTCAGGAATGAGCTTGACATTAATTGAGTGAAATAAAAAATTCAGGGTCTACTTTGCTTTTTTCCCTCAATTCTACTAGGGTATTTCATTCTATATACCCTCTGGAAAGCTATGTATAAGGTTATTGAGTCTGTAACATCAGATCTAGAATATGTCCGTTTTTTTTAAAGTATTCTGAAATTACCATTCAGTATTAATCCTTCTGAATAGTTTCAATATATAGCTTACAGTGGAGATGTGTTTAAAATTGTTTTATTATGTAGATTTTAACAAGATTTAACAGAATGTCAAAATGAGACTCTGCACAAAATAACACTTTCCAGTTATCAATGTGTGTAACCCACCCAATATGCAAAATTTACCAAGGAAATGAACACAACCCTTGAACCTGCTCATCTACTTGTACAGCTTACAGTATTTGAGAGAGAAAGGAAGGATATGTTAAATGATTTCCTTGAAGGGAGGCTACTGTTATGCTGTAAATACTTTCAATTCCCTTCACCACTCCCAAGTTCAGTGAGAGCCTGGAAGGAATCCCTGCTTTTGGGGAGGATATGAATTTGTGCCTGATTCACGTCTGAGAAGGCAAAAGTGGCCTGTGGCAGCAGTGCCCAGAGTTTGCTGAGGTGACAGATGCATGAGCACATGAAAAGGCAAACAGCGAAGCTGGATCTGTTGAAGTCCTGCCCTATGTTCCTCCTGGCAGAGTGAGCCTCTCCAATGATGAAACTGCTGTGGAATTGGCTGCCTGACATCCAGGCAAAGAGGAGGGAATGACAACTGGAGAAACAGAATCTAGCACCTAAGCTTCAGGAGTTACAAGACAAGCCCTAACAGAGGACTCTGAAGAACTGTGGATGTTCATGTGAGAGGATTCATGTGGATAAAACCTCTGCCAGGTCCAGGGACTTCACTCGGATGGTCACATCTGTTCTGTATTTTATGTATGTGTACTCAGAGGTTCCCTGTGGGTTCATAGAATGAGGATGAGTTAATTTGTCAGGCAGCAAAGTGGCGGCTCAGCAGAACACTTGAGAGCAAACAGCATGTGGCAAGGCATAGAACAATGAAGCTAGTGAGGCCCCATGTGACAGAAAATGGCAGAACACATGATTGGGTCCTAATGCCAAGGCTCTCATCAAGAAAGTTGGACTTTATTTTGCAGGCAAAAAGGAGCCCACAGTTTTTCAAGTCTGGAAATTATATGATTAGATTTCTTTTGGTAGATCACACAGATAGCATTGTAAAGGGGAGTTCATTATGGTGAATTCCAGTGAAGAAAAGACAAGTGACAAGTGAATTGTCACCCAAGAGAAAGGAGTGGAAACAAAGCTGTGGCAGTGAGACTGGATGGGATCAGCAGGAATTAGGAGACTTGTGAGACAGGATCCCTGGAGCCTGGTGACTGACCGAGTCACCAGGCGAAGACAAGGATGATTCTCAGGACTCATAGCAACACTTTCTGTGGCCCAACAGGCTTCATTTTTATTTTTACTTTTTAAGGAATATGTAACTCTTTCAATTCAGACTTATTAGGAACATATATATGAAAACAGATTTTCTGTAGCAGCTCCAACCAAGAAGACAGCACAACAGGAACAACAGCAACAACAAAAAACTGTCAGAATTTGAAGTCAGCTTTTTGGCTCAGTATAGAAGGAAAATACATTAGCCAAGCACTGCAAAGTGACTATCTTATATTATTTCAGCATGCACGCTGTAGAATGGTCTGCATGGGACATTAATAACTTCAACCAATAATAATTCCCAGCTTATTACTCACAGATTTTTGCCTTCCTTGTTTTTATAAATACTTACACATTCAGGTTGATCCTACTGAATAACATAAATGAATGCATGCCAGAATTGCTACAAAAAAGTTCTTTCCAAAAGAAAATTGCACTGAAAAGTCCCAAAATGCTTCTTAAAGATTTACCAGTTTTCATTGTTAAACCATGGTTTTCTTCACTATGGCAAAGTATTAAAATATCTGAACTAACATCCAAAAGGGCATAAAATGGAAATAAAAAACTACTTTGTAGCCATTAGTCCTACCAAAAGACATTTTGGTGGAGAAGAGCAATTAGTCATTCAGTCTGAGGAGCTGTGAGTCTGTCTGCAAACAGTGGAAGGCAGGGAGGAGGCAGTCAGAAGACTTAGGTTAGTGTCTACAGCTACGACTGCACTGTCTTCCAACATTGCTCTTTGTGCACAAGCCATGGTCATGCGGTTCAGCAGGAGGAAATGTAAAAGGTTGACAAAGACGCAGAAAATGTCATGTTTTACTAATAGATAAAGAAGGTTTTCATGCAAAATTCTGGACCATTCAGTTAAGGCAGTGTTTTGTTCTTTTTAACAACAACAACAACAAAATCAGTGTTGTATATTAATGAGAATTTATGTGGGAGGTAAATTGTTGCAACCTGTTTTTGAAACCAATTTAACAACATAGCTCTCATCCTATGACTCTAGTTATGGAAATGTTTTAAAATAGAGAGAGGTTTAAGTAGAAACTGCCTATCATAATTATTTATGATGCAGGAAAACTAAAGGCAACTTAAATATCCAACAGTAAAACGGTTCAGTGAATTTGTGTACAGTTTAAATTATGTTTATACATATGGGGAAATGCTCATGTTATAATATTAACTTGAGAAAACACCCAGTACCAGTATACATAATTGTCTGATTTGAACACTGTAAAAAATGCACTTAAGATTGGAGGGTTATAATATAGTAACAAGTTGAATGGATATATTTTCTGATTTGCTTTAATCAACACTATTTTAAAAATATAAACTTAAGGTAACTGAAGCTTTAAAAATAATCTTCTAGAGGAAGGGGACCAGTGGGAGGTTAGAGGGGGGACAAGAGAAGATAATGAGGGATGAATTGATCAGTACATTATCTATATGAATGAAAATGTCACAATGAAACCCATCATTTTGCACGATTAGTATCTACTAATAAAAAAGATTATAAAAGACTCCAAAAACCTTTTAGAACAATTTTGTAAAATAGGTTAATGCCTAAAAGTAAATATTTTGCAGAAAATTTTAGGGTAACAAACTCTTTCTTTTTTATATTAACTGCAAATTGTGGAAAGGAAAATAGATGATATAATTATGCCTTCCCTACCTTCAGATTATCTGGCAGTTCTGATCGCCCAGCATACCCAGGGTTCATTGTTATAAAGACAGCACAGGTGGGGTCAAGTTTTAGTTCAGTTCCTTCAAACACTAGAATATCAGCACCTGCATTAATACCTGTGGGTAATCAAGAATGAAATAACTTTAGCAATGCCACATATAAATGTGCATTGTGCCATTCCTTCCCTCCAGTATTTTCATGAAAGTATTTTTGCAAATGCAAAGACAGACTTGCCCATTACCTCTTTGGATAGTAAGGATTTGTTGAGCAACCACAGAAAGTACTTCCAAATCAATTCTGTTAAACTCATCAAAGCAAGCCCAGGCTCCACAAGATAACAGTCCCTGGGAGAAAAGATTAATGAAATTTTTTAACTTTATCTGATTGAATATTATATTGAAACGTTGCATTTTCACCTGATCTTTTCAAGGATTTAATATCCTATCAAGGAAATTGCTTATTCACTTTTATCTTTAAAGACAGCTTATTTTTTCATTACCAATCCATTATTCTGCATGAATAAAGAGTTTGATCAACTGGAAATTTTTCCAATTTATTTTTTTCTGCATACTGCATAGCTTTTGCCATTTAGATGTATGCCTGTAATTTCCAAGCCTTTCTTACTTTTTATTTACAAGTTGATTTTATTTGCTTTTCTGTATGGGCTCAAGAAAATGGGTTGTAATAATCTTCTAGCTGAGAGGACTTCTGTTGCCAATGACACTGTTCTGTGGTCTGAGCATCTGAATAGCCAACCAAGAATTTAAGGCTCCAGTTTGCAACCCTAACTCACCATTACATTGCTAATATGTGTCACTTGGTCATAAGGAAAACCTGCAAAATCAAACCTAAATAGCTCTGTTCAAATTCAGATTTGTTTTTTTTAAAGCATCAATCAACAATTATTTGTTAAAGACACAACATTTTCAGGTTGTGTATGTGTGTGTGTGTGTGTGTTGCATTGAGTATCTGGTTTGTACCAGGCATGATGTGTGGCATTTGTGTGACATTTACAGGTATTTTTATGCAAGAAAACTAAGTCTGTACCATATAAATGTTACATAATTAGCACATGGCCACACAGATAATAGTGGCTAACCTTGAATTTGTTCACAGTTCATTCTACTGAAATATACTAGATTGAACATGAACTCCACTCATGTAAAACAACAGTCAATTTTCATTATTTAGAGAAGACTTTGACCTCTACTGGATGATATAATGAAAGGATTTGAAATCACAAAGAACAGAATGCTTATTCAGTTACACAGATTGTAAGCTTTGATAGTAAGAACTACATCTTTTTCATTTGTAGCCTCATTACTCAGAATAAACCTAAGATAACTAAAGTAGCCATATAATCAATAAGTACTTATCAATAAACAAATTTAATATTATAAGAAATCTAAATCAAAGAATTAAGAGTATCAACATATAGACTCAAAAACTGAGGAATAGCTGGGCATTGGTGGCACCTGCCTGTAACTCCAGCTACTTGCAAGGTGGAGGTAGGAGGATTACAATTTTGAGGTCAGCCTGGGCAAAGTTAATGAGACCCTTCTTCAAAAATGAAAATTATAAACAATATGGCTTGGGGTGTGATTCAAGGGGTAACACCACTTGTCTAGTATGCATGAGGCCCTAGGTTCAATCCCAGTACCTCAGAGTAGTAAATACCAAATATTTCTTTGTAAACTCTAAAATTTATTTTATCATCATAGCAAGTTTATGTATCAGCATAGAGGATGAATTAAAATGTTGCCATTTAAATGGGTTTTTTTACTCATTATAATGTTGACTTCTATTTTTTTTCTTTACTCTTATTCTAATTGTTTCAGCATCAAAAATGTGGAGTTTTATAAAACTCCAAATTTGTTATAGAATGGCTAGGACATTTAGTCTAAAATCAGTTTAGTGGAGGGGATATGATTGGTATTTTTTTTTGTTAATTTTTTAAGTGCTAATCTTTCTGAAGAAAATTGCAAAAAGTAAATACTTTAGAATATTTAAAATGTAATTTGAAAATAATAGAAAAATAAAAATCAGTAAATATCAGGAACTCGTAATCCAAAATTTTGTGTTCAGTCGTGTTAATTTTAGAGAATTAAAGGCTCTAGCAACAAACTGCTGAAGGGACCAGATGGTCATAGGTTTATAAATAGGGATGACATATTTAATACCACCTTTTGGAATTTTACGTATTTATAAGAATAGGAATCTGGCTCAAAATAAGAAAAAAAAACCTCAAGGATGTTGAGTTCACTAAAAAATATTAGCTAGAATGTGTCAATAAAAGTAAATTAATGAATCATAAAAACATGTTGGTAACAAATCTGTGGGTTAAAGAAGTCATTGTAATCCCAGAATCTGTGCACAATATGGTGGTTCTCAAAGTTGCCCATGTCTCCAGTGTACTTAAGGGACTCACTCACTCCTTCCTATCAGGAATAATAATCCACTATAGCAAAGGCTAGAGCGGTCAGACCTAGTTGGAGGAAACAGATCACTATGCTTGTGTTCTTAAAGGGTATGTTTTGTCTCCAGTCCCTCCCCACCGCCACACACACCTCTCTCTCTCTGTCTCTCCTCCATGACCACCATAAGGTGAGCAGTTTTGCTCCTCCATGTAACCATGAACTGAAAACTCCAAAACCATGAACCAAAATGAGTTTTTCCTCTTCCTAAGTTGATTATCTCAGGTGTTTTGTCACAGTGACAGAAAGCTATCACACTGCATTCAGTTACGTTTCATTATAAATAACTTTCCTCTCATTAGTTATCCTACTGTAAATAACTGAGGAGTTAATTCAAACCTTAAAGAATTTTCCTAAAGCTAAATAATCCAACCCATCAGAGCAGTTGAAAACAACACATTGTTTGGCTACAGCTTTTGCTAAGTCCTTGGTAGTTTCTGTCTTTCCAGTGCCAGCTGGACCCTCAGGTGCTCCTCCAAGGTGCAGGTGAAGAGCTCCAAACAAAGTTCTGAAAGACAAGAAATCACCAGACTATGTAGAATAATGTGGTTTTTGAAAAGCATACACCAAAAAGAAGAAACATTTAAATTGAGAACTAATTAGTCATTTCCTCTCTCTCTTTTCCCAGTAACCTCAGAAAAACTTCTGATGGTACAGTACTTTGTCTGTTATTATATTTTGTTTCTGAACACATTTAGAACAAATTCACTTTTGAATTTCCATGCTGACCTTGGTCAATATGTACAATGCAGCTGACCCTGAACCCTGAACAACCCAATCCCCTTACTCTGCAAGCATATGTAAATGTCAATGAAACCCACCAAAAATGGCTAAAAAGGAGGAGGAAGAAGAGATGGTAGTTAAGAAAGAGTAACATAGATAGGACAAATTTGATCAAAGTACATTATATGAAAGTTGTAAACATCACAATGAAACCCCTTTATACAAATAATTTATGCTAAAAAGATAACTAGGAAAGAAATACATATGACAGCTTTTAAAATACATAGTCTTTTTTTTTTTTTTTTCGTTTCTGGGGATCAAACTCAAGGCCGTGTACAAGTTAAGCAAATGCTCTAGCACTGAGCTACACCTCTAGCCTATGGCTACTTTCAATATTTTATTTTATTTATTTTATTTTATGAGAGCTTTATAGCCAGTGAGCAGATTCTCTTCTCACTGATTTTTTTTTAAATTATTGTTGTACTGGGGGTACATTTTGGTATTTACAGAAGTTCTTACAATATATTATAGTTGGGTTCACCCCTCCATTATTCTTCTTTATCCTCCACCCCCTATTCCTGGAATAGTTTCAACAGGTCTCATTTTTCCATTTACATACATGTGCACAGTATTTGCACTATATTCATCCTCCTACAACCTTTCCTCACATCCTCCCCCTCTCCCACTGGTACCACCCACCCACCACAGGACCTATTCCACCCTCCTGTTCTCCAGTTTTGTAAAACAAAAACAACAACAACAACAACAAAGACATTTCTGCTTAAGATACCATGGCTATTTTTTAAACAATGAACGAGAAATCAACAATGATGATGGAATGCAGAACTGAAGAAGTAATTAAGACCTGTGCAGAGGACCATATTGTTTTAGGATTTGCATATAAACACAAATATATTTATGCTCACATAGAAACAGAAAATAAATCCTCATAACTGAGCAAGATAGGGAACTAGAATGGATCCATCTATATAAATGCAGAAACCTTGAAATGCTGCCTTATCTCTAAGTGGATGAAATTTACTCCAGCAACCTCCTGGAGACAGACAAACAGGACTCAACCACAGAAGAGATAAGGACACTTTCCTTTCATAGAGGTCCTAATGACAAGCACACATTGGTTACAGAGAGGAGAGAATTTGCATTTCCATTTCCCATGGCACATGACCCCAGACTAAGAAACATTAAAATGTTTTTTTTTTTTGTACCACAGAAAAACCTAAAGCTCTACTCAGAAATAAATCTGAAACTGCTACATAAGTATACCTCCACAACTGAAAGATACATGAAGAAACCAACCCCTATCAAAATGAGCTCACAGTTAAAACCAAGAGATCAAACTTGAGTCAGACTTACAGAGGCAAATATGCAAAGCTCTGTGAATGACATATACCTTGCCCTCTTCAGGATCTGGGTGCTCAGTTAAATGAGATATTAAACAAAAGGAAATAGATACCAGAAAGTGTGTGTGTGTGTGTGTGTGTGTGTGTGTGTGTGTGTATGAGAGAGAGAGAGACAGAAAGAGACAGAGAAAGAGAGAGAGAGGGAGAGACACACACACACACACACACCTGGAGAGTCAAAGACAGACAGACAGAAACCAAAATTCTGGTAATAAAAATAACATTGAGCTTTTGAATATTCAGATATAGGAGGTTAAATATCAGATAACATAAAGAAAATTATGTACTGGTAGGTAAACATCCATGAATCACCCAGAGGGGCAGAAGTCAAATATGAGAAAAGTTAAGAGACATAGACAAACCAAAGGAGAAAAATGGAAAAAGAGGCAAAATTTAAACAGCTGAGACTTGCCAAGAATTGAAGAAAGACATGAATTGAAAAAGTCCTGACTTGATCATGGTATATGATCTTTTTGATATGTTGTTGAATTTGGTTTGCTAGTATTTTATTGAGGATTTCTGTATCTAAGTTCATTAAAGAGATTAGCTTATAATTCTCTTTTTTGTTGTGTCCTGGTCCAATAAAAGGATGAGTGTAATACTGGCTTCATAGAATGAGTTTGGCAGTGTTCTTTCCCTTTCTATTTCATGGAAAAGTTTAAGGAGTGTTGGTATTAGTTCTTCTTTACAGGTCTGGTAGAATTCAGCAGTGAATCTGTCAGGACCTGGGCTTTTCTTTTTTGGGAAACTATTGCTGCTTCAATTTCATTGCTTGTTATAGATCTATTTAGATGATTTATATACTGTTGGTTTAATCTTGGATGGTCATATGTATCTAGAAATTTGTCCATTTTGTCTATATTTTCCAATTTATTTGAATATAGGTATTCAAAGTAATCCCAGGCATGCAGGAATGGTTCAACACTTGCAAATCATTAAATGTAATACAGCACATTAACAGAAGCAAAGACAAAAATGACATGATCATCCTAATATATGAAGAAAAGGCCTTCAACAAAATTCAACATCCTTTCATGATAAAAGCTCTGATGAAACTCAGAATGGAAGGAATGTACCTAACATAATAAAGGCTATATATGAAAGCCAATAGCCAACATCATACTAAATGGGGAAAAACTGAAATGATTTCCTCTAAATTACAACAATAATTAAAAAAGGAAATAAAGAAGTCTCATTAGGGGAAATGAAAAACAATCCAAATGTAAACATTACATTGAACAACACTACAGAGAAAATTGTGAAAACTTCAATAGGGAAAATTACCTACAAGGAAAAATTAAAATAATAAATTTAGCAGTAGTAGCAATGAATGCCAGGAGACTATTATCTTTGGAGGACTGATGGAAAACTATTGTTCACCTATAATTCTATACCTAGCTAATCTATCTGTAAATAATTGAGTGAAAACCAAAAAAAAAAAGAGAGGGGCATTTTTATTAGACAAAGACTAGTGAAAGACCAGCTTTCAGTGACTCACTGAAAACACTACTAAAAGACATTGCCTACATGAGGAGAAATTTTAAAAAGTAAAGCAAAGCAAGAAGTAATGGTAAGAAGATGGCGGATAGCTGATGGACCTGGGACCTTAATTTGCATGATTTCAAACAAATACCAGATTTTTGTGGCAGCAAGGATCAGGTAATTCTGCTTTTTCTACCAATCAAGATACTGCCAACACATAGCAGGCATATAATCTTCATTGACTAATGAAGATTAGATTAAAGTAACTTTTCAAAGTGCATAAGAGCCCAGTACAGGGTCAAGCAGCTGCTGCCTGCTTACCTATGTGTTTGCTGGCTGGGAACAGCTGGGGGCAGTGTCAGATAGCTCTGACCGATCCACCACTTTTTATCTTTTTCTTTTTCTCTTTGTCTTAATTCCCTCCCACCTGAATCAGTCAAACTAAAGCACAATACAGAGAACTGCACAGACCTGTAAGCATCTGGAAGTACCTGGACCCACGATAATACTTGTAGACACAGAACCTCTGACTGCTGCCCACCTGTGCAGATTCCTTTCTGCCTTAGTGTGTCTGCAACCTTGCCAACAATAACACAGCACAGAGAACCATAGAAACATTACTGCAAGCATCAGGGAAGACTGGCACCTGCCAAACACAAGCAGACACAAAGCCTCTGTCTGTCATCTGCCTGCACTGCCCTGTAGCTGAACTGTTTTTAACCAAGCACAGCTGCTAACCCATCAGGTGAGTGAAACACACTGTTTCATCAGGTGAGTGAAACACACATACTCTATCATAGCTCAGAGCCAAGTTCACCCCCTCTGGACAAAACTGGTGGCCAAATACATGGAGAAAATATATCGCCTCTGCCTGGGAAGAAGAGGCAGAACACAGAGTGACTCAGCAGCCACAGTGGGGAAAGCTAGCCACTGCACTGCCTTGGAGAAAAGGAGTAAGCTGAAACTGAGAGTCTCACCAAGAGAAAAGCTCCTCTCTGACTCATAGGCTTGCCCTGTGAGTGAATGGGGCTGGCTACTGATCATTTGCCAATCTCTCACAAAACCACTTCTTAGAACCCACCTGCTCCCGAGGGTTCACTCCACTAAGGAAGCCTGGACTCAAATACCCAGAGCTGAGCTGTCCAATAGGGAAGAGCAACACTCATTGTCATGCAATCCAACATACCAACCTTAAGAAGGGACAGTCTTGGCCAGAGTCCTTATAAAAAAGGACCACCTCAACCTGAAATCAGAGGAAACTGTCCAGAACATTCATAGATAGATAGATAGATAGATTCATATATATATTCTTTTTTTAAATTTTATTATTTAATTTTTAATTTTAATGTTTATTTTCTTCATTTTTTTCTCCCATCTTACTGTTATCTACCTCCCTTCTCCATTCTGTCCTAACATTAACTCACTCAGACCTCTATTGCTCCACTTTCCTTTCTCTACCCCAGTTTTTTCTTCCTCATTTCACTCTATCTTCTCCCCCTTCCTTTCCCCCTCTTCACCTTCATTTCTTTCCCCTCCCTGTCCCCCTACTACCTCAACCTCCTCAAAATGCACCACCCACTGAATAGTCTATTATACCAACTTTACCCATTACGCCATCCTTCCTATCCCTCAGCGATTCCTGACAATAGCACCTTCTTCCACAATGACTGAACACACACTAGAGACTTAGTACCCTAGAACCCCCATGTCTCACACCCCTCCCCCACTCGCCCTAACCCCTTCTGTCCCTCCAGTGCCAGCAGTTTCAATACCTGAGTATCCACTTCTATCCAAACAACTGTTATTCCCCCCCAATCTCCACATCTTGTAGATAATATCACCAAGGAGCTCCCTACATATTTTGTAAATAAGTGATCCAGCA